TCAATTTGCACTCCTGAGTCATCTGGAAGGGAAAAAAAAAAAAACAAAAAAAAAAACCTCGGATAGAGTCAAGGCATTTGAGAAACATGCGGGCTGTGCAAAAAGATGCCAGTTTAGCGGTTGAAAAAATGCAAAAAAAAAAAAAAAAAGGCTCAAATGCCTCATGGAACGACGCGGTGGCGGCCAGTCCCAATGAAGCAGCTGGCAAGATGCTGTACCGTCTCTGCCTTGGCTTTTTGAGTTGAGACACTACGTATGTACCATACCATGCCATATGCTATGCCATGCCGCTCAAGCGATGGAAAGTTAGAGAAGATTTGACGGTACCGATGCAAGGTACCTCTCACGTTCATGTGCGTGTGTGTTGTTAGATTTTTTCTTCTTCCCTGGTTCCTTCCTTATGCACACGGGACGGCTTCCATCTCTCCATAATACGGGGTACGCAGCAAGGCACCTTGCATCCAGCTGCGCGAAGCCGACTGGCCGTCGCCAGGGTCTGAAAAGTCGCAGTGTTCATGCGGATGGAGTCCCCAACATATGATCACGATCGATGATGGGCGCGCGGCGCGGGCATGGTCACAATGTCCCCTTCCGTTCCATCTCCACCGCATCAAGTGCTTGTTCTCTGCTGCCCACTCGTCATCTGTCGGGTGTTTTTCATCCAAGGATTTTGGACGGAAGCCGTGTCTTCAATGTTTGATGTACCGCTTGGCTCGTCGTCAGCCGGGCCGGTACATGTAGTGTCTGAGGGAGCCGACAGCGAGGCCGTAGAGGTTTCGACTTACATAAGGCGCTTGGAGTGCAATGGCCGGGATGCAGGATGGGGGATGGGGATGGGACGGCTTCTACGGTCTACCAGCTCAGAGCTCCAGCAAGGAAACGACCCAAACTTCTAGGTTGTCCCTACTTGCACATCTTAGCTAATAAGGTGCCTTCTGTGATGCAACAAGTCAGTCGTCCATGCAGCCAAAGCTACCTACCTTACCTCTGCCCGTCGGCGTGCACTCCGGCCGCCACCCACCTACCACATTGCAGCACGGGGAGCCGTGGCCGTGGGTGAGAGAGTTAGCTAGTGATGGAGTGAGCTGATGACAGAATTGCGAAAATGATGCATCGCAATGGCAACTGAGCCCCCTCGGCTCGCGTCAGGCCTGGGGGGAGACTGGTTACCTTACTGCGTACCTTAGGTACCTTAGCTTGCTTCCCACACAGTCTAGTCCTTCGCAAGGCCAGTCACCTGGCCACACCTCACCTCACACCTTGGCTTTTTGTCTGCGCTCTGCTGTCCAACAGATGCCCTCAAGCCCTCCCACCCCCTCGGTGACCTGACCTTGATCTCAGGGCCTTTTCGCCATTGCCCTGTCAGACTGGAGGGACCAGAGGGAGCAAGCAAGGTACTGTACCCCGTCCTGCATGCCGCTGCATTCTGTGTCCGTACCTGACATTCTAGTTTCGATCATGTAATGATGGAGGGGTCGTGGCTAGATTCGTAATCGCAGGCTTGAATTCACCATTCACCGTTGACCGCCAGAGGACTCTGCTCCGGCCCTGACCCTGAGTACGTACCCTACAGCCTGAGGTGGGAAAGGTACAGAGGTACTCCGGGTCGTCGTAGGTAGTCGCTGGAAGTACTCTTGTGATGCTACCCGTCCCCAGACTCGTTCGGCAGCATCGTGCATCACCTCTGATTTCCCTCTCGCTTCCCCATATTTTGGCACTATTAAAAGCCCTGCTTGGCCATTCTGCCCTAGCCCGAAAGCGCCTAGCCAGCCCTTGGACGTGGTCCCCGCCAGTCCACTCTGCGTCTCCGCCGCAAGAGAAACCAGACCACTTCTCTCTTTCTCTCTCCAGTGAAGCAAGCTCACCCACCTCGCCGACAGGGGGTCCGGATTACCCAACGGAGCCTTTCGAAAGACAGGCTTCCCCCGTCCACGCGCAACCTCGCAACTGCGCCAGAGGGATCGAGAGCAGAGAGGTACCTGCCTGACCTGACCTGACCTGCCTGCCTCGCATCCTGCCCACTGCAGAGAGAACAAACACAATCCCCGTGATGACCTGAGCTCTGGGGGCGAATTGCGATATAAGCCTCGGACCCCGATCTTGAAATCTCGATCTGAGAGGAGACAGGAGGGAAGGAAAAAAAAGTCAGAGATTTCTCGCTAGTGAGCCGCATTCCTCGACACGTCAATAAGTCGGTGAAGGAAGGAGAGGAAGGAGTAAAAAAAAATAAAAATTTCAAAGACCAAACGAGGATCAAAGAATTCCCAACCAAATTAGTCTGCATACGAAAAAAGACACTCGCACATCGCGTTTAACCACACAGACGTAAAGAAGAATACCTTTGGGCTAGACATTATTCTCCGGTCTCACGTATGCGAGAGACAAACCCGCAGCCATTCATTCCTCTCGGGGGCCCTTGCTTTTCTCCAATTCGTCCACCGCCGCTTGGGAGCAGGAACTTTTTCTGCTTGGCGAGGAACTGGACAATGAAGACATTGGAGAGACAGGGCCACAGCCTACCAAACGCACACGCGCGCTTTCTGAACAACTTGAACAACAGGTCAAAGGATAATTTGAAATGGAAAGAGGGAAGGTCATCAGGGTATCTGCAGTGTGCCCTGTTGTCTCTGGCAGCATGCTACCTTTGCGGCGGCGACTAAAATTGCGCGTTTCTGCACTTGTGACTTTGCCTCTGGCAGCACAGTGCTCTCTCTCTCTCTCTGCGCAGAGCAAAAAAAAATTTAAAAAAAAATAAAAATAAAAAAAAAATAATAAAAAAAATAATAATAAAAAAATTGGCCGTCTGTCATGAGCAAAGTTGAGACGACGGACGAATCGGCGGCGCTGTGCAGAGTCGATTGGCTGAAGGCCCGTCCGCACCCCGACATCTCCGTTTTCGGCGAACCCACGGCCCTGCTCGTCCTTGCGTCAATCCGAGGTACTCTTTTTGCGGGCAATGTACCTTTCTCTCAACCGGGCTCTTGCCTGGGTCCAAGGTCCAGGGGACAGACAGCGAGAAAGGGAAAGGGAAAAAAATACCCATCTCCAAGGGAGTGAGCAGAGTACCTCCATAGTATCCGTAGCAGTAGCTGCACTCTAGTAGCACGACAACGGAAAGAGTCACACTCGTCAAGCGGCTCCATCCATCCCCAGAGACCCCGAGAGAAAGCAGCAACAGCTTTGATACAAAAGCAGATCGTCCTGCAGCACTACAAATAATTCCCGAGCCCTCCCGTCCGCTTCCAGAGCCTCTCTTTCGCGTTTTCCCGTATCAGTTCGGACTACGAGGTATCTCGGTCATCAGTCATCATTCTCATTCTCATTCTTCTCTCTCTCACCACCTCACTCTCTTCCTTTCCTCTCTCTCTTAATCGTCTCACTCGAGGCACACATACCTGACCAATTCGTGCTCTGCTCCAACAAACTCCGACTACGCCCTCCGCTTCTCACTCCGACTCTCACTCCGACTCTCACTCCGACCCTTGGCTTAAACCCACCGCCGAACATCAACGACGACGGGACCAGACCGACATCCCAATCCACATCGACATCCGCAAAGTAAACCGCAAACCACTTCGCCTTACCTCAACTTCCCTAGCTTCCTTTTTCTCTCTCGCTGCTAGCTAGCCCTGGTCCCCGCATCCGCACTCCTCTCGCTTTCGTGTGTCGTCATCGTGCTTCCAGCCAGCGCATGTTCGTTGCTGCACCCGCTGTTTAATTAAATCTCGAAAAAAGCACCCGGCCACGGCCCATCCCTGGATCGAGAAACCACTACCACGGTGCAACTTGGCGCTACAGACGCCCGCCTTGCCCCCGGCTTGTTTACGACTTACACCAAGCTTGCAACCTCTCACTATCTTACCCTTACCTAGCACGGCAACATCAACCACCGTCAGCTACAAGCCTCTCAGCCGAGTTAGCCCTCGCAAAAATAGAGCGCTCATCCGGCCATCCTACCTACGGGCTAGCTAGCACCACCACGGCCGCCCAGCACCTCATCCGCCTGGGCTTGAACAACGTCTGTGTCAGCGGCATCTCGCCGAATTGATAATTAGATAGGAACCTGTTCCTTGGGTACGGGCATTCATAAAGGCGTATCAGCCGCCCGCCCACACGCTGCTGCACCCGCTACCGCTCGCATCCTCACACACACACGCTCTCACACTACTCACCCACTCACTCACTCACACACATACAAACAACACACACCCATCACTTATCAGCTCGGTCAAATACCTACCAGGCCATATCCACACCCCCAGGCAAACCCGCCGCTATCTATCAGTTCCCATCACCAAGGCGCCTTAGCTATTGGAAATAAGGCACACCACATCAGGCGTCCCCTGCACTTGCGGCTGCTCTCGACCCCTTCTTAATCCTCCCAGCACCCGCTCCGACCTGGCTTGTCTGCGCGGGGGAAACTTGACTCTCCAACGAACGGGCAAACACAAAAAATCTCTTCAGCGGCATCGCGCAACGGTCCAGACCTTTTTTTGCCACTCGGAACGCGTGAGAAAGCAAGGACCAATTTCCTGCATTCCCATACCCAAGGCCACCAACAGGACGGCAACCCGTATCACACAATCCCCGTTTACGAAAATTTTTCACGAGAGTCACCAACTCGATTCCTTCACCTCCACGGGGTTTTAAACTGGGTCTTTCTGTCTCTGCTCGTTGCCAAACCCGACGGCCGAGACAGCACGGGCAACCACCTTACAGTTGTGTTGGTGTCAATCATCGCTCGTTAGGCGAATTGCACGGCGCCTACCCCTCCACCAAACCACCACCATCCCCGCTTATCTTCCTCCGCCTGCCACCACCGACACAGGCTCCCGCTGCATCACAGGCACCACTGACTGTCTGGGAGACGACAGACAGTGAGGACTTTCGACTACAAGAAAGACCCCTGCCAGCATAGCATTGGCTTTCTGACCTCACCTCCCGATCTATCTCTCTCTCCCATATACTCACACACACACACACACACACAACAACACACAATGCATCACAGTCGCAGAAAGTCCGGCAACACCTCCATGACGGAGAAGACCGTTACCGCCACTGATCCCTCCCGCTATGGCAAGCGCCCAACAACACTCTCCCGACGCCAAACACCTGTCGCCGCGCAAAAGCTGGGCAAGAGCCACAGGGACCGCGAACGCGAATGGCAGGACTCGTGGGACGATGACCGTGAAAGCTTCCCTCAGTTTTGGTATGTAAACATGATCTGTCTTTCTCTCTCCCTGCTTCACCTCGGCCCTTCCTTTCTTTCTCTTCAGCCTGGCGCAAGTGGCTGCTCGCGCCATGTTCTAGACTGGCAATCCCCGCAGCAGCTCCGTCCTGTTCTACGCAATGATCTTCCATGGCTCGCTGCAGACGGTTTCCCTCTTCGGGAGTGCTGCAGTGTCACGAAGGACGCGCAGCTCGGGGCGTCACCCATTACCCCGTCTTCCGAGAAGCCTCTCAAACCCATCTTGTCTTTCATGACTATCACAAACACACCCGCTGACTGGTTGTGTTCTAGCATGACGTGCGAAAAGCAATTCGTGCCCCAAGACGTCAAGACGCTGTACTGCTCAGAAGCGTGCCGCCTCCACGACCAGCAGAGCGCATCAATCGGCAGGAGTCACAGCCAGGTGCACCAGAGTCACTACCCTTTCTACGCTGCAGGCAACCCCGAACCGAGAGACATCGTCCCCCGCGCCTCGCCATCGAGGCCCAACTCGATGCACTTCTCCCCGCCCACGACACCAGGTGCCACCAGCGGTGCTCAGTACTCGTCTGCCATCTCCGCCCTGAGGTCGCTCAGCATCCGCCCTCCCAGCCCGCCATCGCCCACATCCTCGCACCCTAGCAGCTTGTGGCCCTTCACCAAGAGCAGCGCCGCCAGCCCCAGCTCCTCCTACAACCGCAGCGGCAACGGTTTCTTCCCCGCGACCTATGACGGTGGTTACGCTTCCACCGGTTACGCCTACAACTACAGCTCCAGCGGCATGGATCGGCCGCTGCCGACGCGGAGACCCACTGGCCCGGGCTACTCGAGGCCGAAAAGTATCGAATTGGTGACACCCATGGTCGGTCGCTAACGCTCACCAAAAGGGCTTGGGGAGGGCTGGCGCTACCAGACACACATGGTTGTGGACTACCATCCCATTGGCAACGCACGACGACATCGGGGGCGGAACTGGCGTATTGTTCGGCGACCTCCCTTCGCACCCGAATAGGTGTACAGCGGGGGGCCGACGGGGGCGCTCTCAAGGGCTTTCTCCTCTCGTACTCGCCTGTCCACCCCAGCCCCCAACGCGGGGTTAGCGTCGATTTCGAGCGCCGGAAAACGCGGGGGTTTAATTTACGGGATGGACGACGGCCGATAAGGGGGAGTTTCGATGCCAAACTTCAGCTTCTGTTTTGTTTGCTGCTCCTCCTGCTTCGGGTCGCCACATTTCCGAATCATCCGGCACTCACTTTTCTCCAGCCGATCTCATTCCAACACCACCCTCGTCCCTTTACCCCACGAAAATGACGCTTTGACGCGCGTGGAGAAACCAGCATGGTGGAAGTCACTAGTGTGGGGATTTGCCAATTTGCGCATCTGCGGCGTGTTCTCATCGGTCATGTGAGCGGGGGAGGAGCAAGGGAAGGGGGGGATCACACACTCAAAACACACAAAATCGGGGTTGCATTGGCATAGGCATTGATTGGCATTGACACAGCGAGTTATTGGGGATATTGCCTGTCTGGATTTCGAACCGGCTGTTTGGTACGCCATACCCAACTCATCACGGAGGATCTCAACGACATCTCCGTGCCGGGGTGGGCTGTGGCCGGGAACGATTCATGACGGGGGAGTTTTCTTATTTTTTTTCATCTTCTCTGAGCGTTGCGCACGTATTGTGTGTCGTTCGCGCCATCTTGAAAGCATATTAGAAAGGCGGGCATTTACGGGTCTCCAGCTTTTGCATGAAAGGACAACGGGTTCTTCAGGTTATTACTCGGGCGCATTTTTGTCATCATCATCATGACCTTGGGACAGGAGGCACATGGCGGATACAGTACTCCCCCTCCTCTCAAAACGACCATAGTCTAGCTTTTTATTGTATGTATCTCATTCCGCGATCTGGGTATATGTCTCTAGAGCAGGCACAACCCGATTTCGCAAGGAACAAAATATGAATCACATCATAATCATGTTTGTTTGTGTATAACCGGATTGTCTGGTGTCTGTCTCACTCGTACAGCGCGCGTTGAGAGTGTATGATTGGTGAATAGCGGATGCAGACACACACGCCTAGCTACCTAGCATCAAGCAACTAACTCGTGCATCCGGGGGTGTGAGGGAAGGAAGATACCTGCTCTACCGGTCATGGTATCAGTTCCACACTTATCTGAACCTGCCCACCTCCGCAAGACCCATTGTCGATCTATCTCTGTTTTCTGTTCTTTCTTTTTACCCGGACGAGACATGTATGGAGTGAGTGGCCCCGCGAGTGATGTGCGCAACTGACTCGGCGGTGGGTTCTTGCGGGAGATGGACAGGAGTAACCTACCGTTGAGACGGCAGCGCAGAGGACGGTTGATGGACAATTGGGGGTGGCTCAGGGGTGGTGGGAAAAGGTGTTGCGCGCACTGTAGGATTTTGATATTAATTGGACACCCGTTTTTGGGAGGAGGGAATCCTTGGTTCTGCTTGGGTGTTTGCTGTGCCGCTCAGGAATACTATAGAGAGAGGTCTGGACCGCTTTCTTCTCGGGCCCGAGGTTTTGCTGAGGTTGTACAACGTGCTTACGGATGGGGGATGATGTATGTGTGTGGTCTGGTTGGTTGGATGGCAGGTGGTGAAGGATTATTGTGCCTGTGTGGGGGGAGGTAGTGTTGGCGCCGGGCGATTTCCGATATTAGAGACCACACTACGTGTGATTGTGCTATGTTTTGGGAGAGCTCCTGGATTGGGGGTGTGAGGTCGGGATTTCCCATCACGACGACCCTTGGGACGCGTCGAGGCTTGCGGGCGCGGGAGAACTACGGAGTGGGGTTTGGAGGGGGGGGGAGAATGTGTGTCCCGGGCTGTTTGGCAATTTGGAAGGTCACTTTTTTGCGTGGGGCTTGGCTTTTCGTTTTGGACGATCGTGAGGAGCAAGATCTGGGGGTGGGCTCTTTTCTCGTCACGTTTGGGGTGGGCGGTGGAGACAGTCACGATTCGGGAATATGGGGGTCTCGAAAGAATATGGGATTATACTGTGTGGATGGCTTCCGAGGTCTGGCATGCCGAGTCAGGTGGGTTTGCTACATTTGCTCGCGGGATGGTGATTATGTGTATGGGCACCTAAAGTCAGATGAGTTGGTTGATTGAGGTTGAGGCGAAGTCGGCCAAGGGTTAGGTGTCCTATGACGAAGTGGTTTACGAAGGTCTCGTGCGTGTGTGTTGACGATCGTGGTGATGACTTTGGCTGACGTACGGGGGTTGGGTGTTGTTTTGGGGCGGTGTAGGTCCGGTGAGCGGGTTGAGGATCCAGGTGAGCGGAGAGCACGCCGCGAGCCGCGAGCCGTGAGCCGTAGGCCATCACACCGTGGGCCGTTTTTGGAGCCGTTGCGATAAGAGATTCTCGGTGGCGGCGCGGCGGGCGGCTGAGGCGCCTGCTGTGCAATAAGGGACGGCGTGTGATGGTGTCCCAGGGAGGACCGGTTTAGTGATTCTGGTTGTGTGTGGTGGGCTGGATGGGTGGGATGATGACGTGAGAAGGGGTCGTGTGGTTTTTGCCTACTTGGGATACCCGGGGGGGATCGCATAGTCGGGAGAACTGGATTCATGATCTGCTTTGGGCAGGGTGGTTGGTTGCGTAGCGCCGGTGTTGGATTTTGGGTCGATCAGATTGGGTGAGGAAGGTGAGAGCAGCGCCATGCGAGATAGGCTAGTCTCGGTTGTCGGTGGCATTTGCCAGATCTAATCTTTGCTCGGGGATGAGATATCCGAGATTTTGGTTTAACCCTCTGGCAAGAGCGGCCCAACGGGTCGCAAATACGTCAGGTTTTTTTGAGACATGGTAAACAGGTTTTGTCCCCCGCCTCTGTGTGTGATGGGATGTGATTGATGCACGCAGTTACCGGTCGCGTCTCCAAATGATTTGTGTTTTCCCGTGTTTGTACAATGTGCGACATTCCTCGCGCGTTTGCTCGGGGCTGATTGCCGTGGGAGGGAGAGACGGCCGGCGCCGTGTCGGCGAGGCCGGTGTTGTTCGGGGTGGAGCATCGGGGGTGCCCGAGTTTTGCGGCGTGCACGGTGCTTGGGCGGCGGCCGGGAGAGGAGTAGGAGGAGAAGATTGCGACGCTGTGTGTGTGTGTGGAGGAATGACTCTCCCCCCTGCTTTCTCTTAGGGATTGCATCGTATCGGGGCCCGGTCTTAACTCGGGAGGATACGGTGACAATATCGTGAGGGCATTATTTACTGAGCCGCTTTTGGCGGTTGTGGGAAACGGCAGTTTGTTTTCCCCCCGTCGTGGTTGATAATCGCTTACTCGGCACTGGTCACTAGTCATTTACACGATAGTATCTCTGACGCCTGTGTTGTCACTTGTGGACTTGCTCAAGCAGAGGAGTCATGAGATTCGGTCCTTTCATCGCCTGCTGCTTCGAATGTACTTCAAAACCTGAAGTGTGCCAGAGACAGCAAAAGTATGGGACACGATGTTTTTGGCGGCACGCATGAGAACATAGCCCCAAGACTCCATCCCTTCATGAGGAAAACACTCTTGTAGTCAAACGGACTGAACTGTACTTGACCAGATCACAGTTTCTGATTGAGTATGTGCCTACCTTTCACCATAGTCAGCGAACTTTAGACACATACTCTGCGATTCTGGCTTCGTTCTTCGCCGCTCGCCTTTCCGAATCACACGTTAAATGCAATTGTATATGCAAACGCCTACGGGTATATCGGACGATCTATGCATGTCCTCTCTAAACCGCCGCTCCGGTAGATACCCAAAACCAATGCTCCAACTGATGCAGCCTCCCGACCCAATGCTCCTGTAACGAAATGATATGCACCCAATATCCAAACACATTCCTCACCGCACCCTCTTCCTCGGAGACCTCTTGAGGTCTTCCACCTCTTCCCGAGATAGGATGATGCTCTCCTCTCTCTCCTCCGTGTCTCCCGACAGCTGCTCTTCTCCTATCCACCCGGCCTCGACAGCAAACCTGACGACCTCCGCGGCACATCCAAAGGACGGGGTGCCGGCCTTGGCCTCGGGATCCAGGTACTTCCAGAGCTCTTTGGTGGCCTTCTTGAACTCTGCCGCATCCTTCTTCTCGCCCTTGAAGCCCTTGATCATGTACTGATACAGATACGCCAACCACAGCACGTTCGTGTACGGCACGTAGACATCCCAGGACAGGGGCTGCCCGTCCGCTGCCTTGGGGTATGGCGAGTTGTGCGCTGTTGGCGGGAGACACCCGCGCTCTCCCTTGATCAGGAAAGACCGCATCTGGCGGTAGACCTTACACTGCGGTGCGTGGGTGCTGGTGAAGATGCCGAGTTCCTTCTCGAGGTCCAGCGCGATGGGCTCGTCGTCGATGTCCAGGTCCTCGGCCCGGGAGAGACCGTAGTCGAGAATAGTGATGTCGAGCCCCGAGTATCCAAAATGGGGCGCTGTCTTGCTGTTACCACGGGCTTGAGGCTCGTCTGTCCGCCGTATGCAGAGATTGCCCTCGTGAAGATCGCGATGCTGGTTCTGTCAGTCTTCGAAGGGAAGGAAGGAGTTGTGCGAGCGTACCTCAAAACAGTTGAATTCTTCTGCCCTCGCCAAGGCAATAGCAACGAGGAAGAAGATGTCCCACAGCTGACTTTGGTTCACGAGCTCAAAGTCCTCCAGTGCCGTGCCTGCATCGCCCAGCTCAACGACGAGGAACTTCGTGTCGGCAAGATACCGGCTCGGGCTCGGGTAGAACTGCAGCCTGTCCGGGTCCTTCCGCTTCATCTTTCGATGAAAGGCCTGATGCGTCTCCAGCAGACACTTTGGCGCCTTGCCCTGCACGATGTAGCGCTCCTTGTACACGACGAAGCCCGGGATGTCGGCAAGCCACTCAGATATCTGTAGCTCGCCACGCATGTCGTCCTCGGAATGCGGCTCCTCGTCGACAAGACCAGAGCGCTCCTGTGCTTTGGTCTGTGGCTTGATGGGCGACTCGAGACGGATGCACTTGATGATGCTGGTGCCGCGCTCATTTCTGACGCGGTAGACCTCGGCATAAGAGGCCTCGGCGATCTTCTCAATCGTGTCTCCCGGCGGGCAGACCTCGTCCCATGTGAGGATGCGGTAGCCGGGCTTAGGCTCTTCTTGGGGCTCTGGTGATGCCGGCTTTTCAGCTTTTGTAGCCTTGGAGGACTTGGACTTGGACCTTGGGGTTGTGGTCTTGACTGGTGCTGGTGATTCCTGGACTTGCTTCTTTGGGGATAGCACCTGTCTCCTTGGCGAGACGGGCTTCTTTGGCTTTGGCGGTGATTTCACCACGATGGAGCCAAAGTCTCTCGACAACTCATCTTCTGAAGAGTCGTATTCAGCTCCAAGCGCGACTGCGTCAAGCTTCTCGGAGATCCTGATGATCGAGTCATCGTCATCCGAGTCCACCGCCACTGCTACCGTCGTCTGCGGCTTTCGAACTGGACTCTGCGGCAGCTCGCCGAACAGGCGCCGCGCCTTTGACTTGGTCGACGTCTTGCCGTACGTACGGCTCGCTATTGTGCGTGCCATTTTTAATGTTGCGTGTTGTTGAATCTGCGTCGAATTCGGGGGATAATGCATCTCATCGTACGACACCGCAATGGCCGTCGTTGGCATCTATTGACAATCCATGCGGTTGACCAGACAACAGGAGCTTCAACGGAAGAGACGTTACTCCGCAGCCGCTGAAGACCCACTAGGACCCGCCAAGCTGGACTCGACCGCATTGATGCGGGTGTGGAGCACAGTTCATCTGCCCCAGCTTCCAGAAGAAGCCACTTGACTGGCTGACGACTAGCTAATTTCGCCATCTCGTTGGCGACGTTGCGCATCTGCATCTGCCTCCTCACAAGCTCGCAGCTTCACTGTCTGCAAGTCTTGCGTCCTTTGACAACTCATCGCAGCCAGCCAGCCATCCATCCCCGACCGCAACCATGGCCAACATCCTCAACGGCCTCTTTGGAGGTTCCAAGCCCTCTGCATCTCCAATCCCCAGCGGTGACTCTGGTACGTCCATTTCTCTCTCGTCCTCGCCGGATGCCTGCATCTCGACGTCAAAGCTTCACCCACGTCTTTCCCCTCCGCACCCACATTTCCACCTCCTCAATTGAAACTGACGCAATCTCCAACCACGCACAGATTTCGCAGACTTCGCCGGCGCTCCTGACCCGTCGCCCACGCCCAGCTCCTTCACTGCTGCCCCCGGCGGCGCGAGCCTTGCTGGTGGTGCTCCCGCTGCCACAGCCCGTCCCTACACGAAATGGTACAACATCCACGAGCGCCACTCGCTTGACGAGTTCAAGCTTGAGGGTGCCATCCTCGCCGTCAGCGCCGTCATCTTCCTTCTGCACATCATCGGCTCGCGTCTGAACCGTAGCAAAGCCAAGGCTTGGGCTACTGCTCACGCGCCGGTCCTGAAGAGCGAATTCGCGTCTGTCGGCTTCGATCCGAACCCGACTGTCGACAGCGACCCCAAGAGCACCGATGGTGTTCTGCGCGAGAAGTCCCTGTTCGAGTTCGCCAGCTACGGCACTGGACGCCAGAATGTTGCCTTTATGGACGTCAAGTTGAGCCTTACCAAGCGCTTCAACCCGGCCCTGAGCATCGTCGAGACTGTTTCCAGCTTCTTCATGGACTCTGTCGAGGCTCCTCACGACTCCCTGGAGGCTGTCATCTACCCCTTTGACGGCAAGGAATCTCTCACCGTTCCCTCTGTCCCTGGCACCCACGAACTGCGCAGCAAGGATAACAAGAGCACGTACGACAACTTCGTCTGGGCCATTGTCTCCAAGGACCGCATGAAGCAGGTTCGCGATGATCGCTACGATGTTTCCATCACCTTCACCAAGGACCACAACAAGCTTCCCAACTGGGTTACCGTCATGAGCGAGAGCGCCGAGATCACTGAGCAGCTCCTGACCCCTGAGCTCGTCAAGGCCGTGGAGGCCGCCGGCGACGCGTTTGACTACCTCATTGTGTCTGACCAGCCCATTCAGAAGCCCACCACGTGAGTCCATTGCTGCGCCGCAATTTCCCGCGTTTAGATGCTAACATCCTGCAGCCTGGAGGAGACCGTCCCCCGCAAGCGCGTCTTCTTGCGCTACCGCCTCCCCTCCAACAACAACTACGACTCTCTGGTGCCCCTCTTCGAGTACTTTGTCCGCATCCCCGACGCTCTCGTGTCCGGTGCCCACTTCCGTCCCGAGGTCCTCCGCAAGGTCCGCAGCATCCGCGACGAGAACATTGCCCAGATCAAGAAGGCTGCCGAGGCTGAGAAGGCCGAGGAGCGTGCCCTTGAGCGCGAGAAGCAGAAGAAGGCCAAGCGCGACGCCGAGCTCAGCGGTCTGGACGCCAAGGCTCAGAAGAAGTACCTCGAGAAGGAGCGTGAGCGCGAGCAGAAGAAGGCCCAGAAGAAGCAGACCATGCGTGGTTGAGCGACCTTTTGTCCTTCGTATTGGAAGCTGTCGAAAAAAAGTTTCTCGCTTTTTGGTGTAACGTTCTGAACAAGAAGACCATGATCTGATGTATCTGGGTTACGGGGGATAAAGGGGGCTGGCGGTGTCTATATCACGATCTAGGCTGGACGCGGATGAAGGTGTATACTGTACTACCATGAAGAAAAGCGACGGGGAGGCAACTAGCATATCTGTCAATCATAACTTAATAAGCATCATTTTACATGCATTTGAATCAATTTCATTCGAAAGATTGGTCTATTTGTCTTCAGCCAGGATACCCTCCACGCGCTTCACCTTGTCCTCGGCAGACTGCTTCTTGTCCGTTCTGATTCGTCGTCAGGTCTTGCTTCATTTGAGGGTTGGATGAGGCGGGACGTATTTACCTTGAACCGACGCGCATCGACGACTGGATCCTCACGACGCCCTGCTGATGGACGAGGGAGTGCGCCTGGCCGATGACGCGAAAGACATCGTCCCAGCTGCCCTCTGCGATTATTGTCAGCTCTGCACTTGCTCCATCATTCACACCACGTTTCTCTCAGTGATCCCCGCAAGTTGGGGTTCTACCGCTCTCATGTCGCAACATGACCACAGAGAAGGAGAGAGAACACCATCTCCGAGGGCTTCAACCAGGGCGGCACTCACCAACGGTCGTGCCGGCCGAGTGCATGGTGTACTTGAGCCCGCTGGCCTTGAGCAGGCGCTGGACCTGGGCGACCTCGTTCGCGACGGAGACGCTGCCGGTGCCGACGGGGATGAGGCAGAAGTCGGCGTAGGCGGCGGCCGGGGTGGGGATGTTGGAGTAGTCCGTCGTCGGCGTTGACATGTTGCCGGTGGTGCTTTTTGCGTCCGTGGCACTTGGTGTCTGTGAGTATGTCGAAGGATATGTTGAGAGCAACGGCGAGGAGATTTCTGGTTTTACAATGCGAATAGCTGTCGAGTGCTTCCAGGTTAATCGTGGAAAAGGCGCCGTGATATGTGAGGGCAGACGTCGAAAGCTTACTGCGGCATTATCCAATGATGCAATGGACTGCGGGGCTCACCCGTCCAACGAGGGGTCAACATGAGCTCATGGCTTTCATTCTCATCGCCACATATTAACAAATTCACCAGTCACCGTTTTCAATCTATGACTATCGTTGAACGTTTTGATTCTTTTTTGAAATTGACCCTGCAGTACATGATTGTACTGTGCTGGGCTTTCCTGAAACTATCCTAATCCTTTGCTGTGATAGGTATGTGTCGTGGCCCTGACTGTGGGCATGTGTATGTATCCTCCTCGCCAGCGGAACGTTTCACGCTTTGCTGTGCAGTAGGCCGTTGAACAAGATGTCGTGAAGAAAAAAAACAAAATCCCCTTTCCCGCCGGTGTTCCGGCCCATATAACGCCATCGCTATGCTTCGAATGACAGAAAGAGAGTAAAACAAGACCGAGTGAGGAAATCTACGAAGGCCCATGATTTTCCGGTCCCGACGCAGTGTAATTGGAAAAAGTGAGTCGCATGCTGGCGCATTGACCCTCGCAATCGCTTTCGCTCCTCCTAGAACAGGAACACGGCGGCAGCCAGGAACGCGACGAGCGCTCCCGTCTCCATGCCGCCGGGCGTGCGGCCTGCGAGGCCAGCGCTGCTCGCGGTGGCGCTGTTGCTGCTGCTGCGACCGGAGATGTCGCTGGACGACAGGCCGTTGAGGTCGTCGGCGGCGTCGATGGCGGGGCCCTTGTTGAAGAAGTCGACCAGGACGAAGGTCGGCTTCTTGCCCCATTGAGAAGTGCAGGTCTGCGCGTGCAGGCCGAGGTTGCCCTGGGTGGAGGTGCTGGCGGAGTTGGTGGTGTCGATGTCGCTGACGTCCGGGATGAGGATGTCGCCGGTGAGGATCTGGTACTGGAAGTGGTTCATGAGGGGCATCATGTTGGCTGAGACGGCGGCGGAGGCGGTGGTGTAGGTTGAGGGGCGGTCGATTGTGCAGTTGAAGCCCGAGGCGGAGGTGACTTCATAGTGCGTCTCGAAAACGTAGGCGAACTCGGGGAGGAGGTAGGGGTAGGTTGAGTCCGCGGTGATGGAGGCGACGAAGGTGACGAGACGGGTGTTGTTCGAAATCATCTCCTGCAGGGTGGGCCAGCTGGAGGTGGCGGAGGAGGAGGAGGGCGTGTAGCCGTACTTTGAGATGCCGGAGGACTCAAAGACCTTGCCGAAGACGGAGGCGGCCTGGTTGTCCGAGTTGACGAGGAGGATGGTGACGACTTCGTTCTCGTGGGCGTCCATCCAAGTCTTGATAGAGGACAGCCACTTCTCGAGAGTACCGGCGTCGAGGAGGGAGCATGTGGTGTGGCAGAGCTCGAGGGTCGTGCCGGAGGTGCTGTTCACGGTGTGGACCTGGGCTTGCAGCAGACGAAGGCCGGAGTTGAGGGCGACTGTGGCATTGTAGTACTGGTTTCCTGCAATGGAGTTCGACGTGGATGAGTCGCGGAGGAAGGCACTGTCGTGAGCGCCCATGTGAGTGATGTTGTTGTACTTGCGACTGCATAGTGAGGGGGAGTTGTTGCAGGCCGTTGTTGAGTTTGATTCTGCGGAGTTGGTGGTGGAGTCGGAGACTGTCGAGGGCAGGGCGTTGACGAGAGATGTCGTCGCGAGGAGGGCCGCGAACGCTCTTCGGAGGGAAACCATGTTGATGATGTTTGCTTTTGGTGTTGATGCGTGTATGTGAGTGTTGAAAGGCCTTGAACCACCTTGTTGACCAAAAAGGGATCCTTCCTCTGGTCCTTATATGTATGTTGTCTCGAGAGGTTGATCGGCAGCAGGCGCAACAATGAGGTGGTTGGCGTGGAGCAGAAACAAGAGACGAGGCGGCGGAGGAGGGTGATGAGAGGTTGTAAGCAGGGCAACGGGATGGGCGGGATACGACCAGGTGAGGTAAGGTCAGGTAGGGTATGGAAGGTAGCGGGACAGGGTATCAGGTAGCTGCTGGCCAAAGGTTAAAGAGCAAAAGAAGCAAGACGAGACTGCGATGACCTCGACTGTCGGGAAAGCAAAAGTGAAAGCGGTGCCGGATCCCCAGTCTTAATAGGCATGGGACCGAAGGAGCATCCTCGCAAGGCCAGGCCAAGGCTGGACGTGTGAGATGGGTGTGGTGTGTACCCCATGTAAGGTGAGGTACTCTAGAAGGTGGCTACCCGCCTTACGTATTCGCCGATGGAGCATTTTTTGAGGCTGGGTTCGATGGTGTACAGTGGTAGCGACGCTGGCCTCGGTCCAGTGCCCCCAGTCGAATATCAGCCAGAGTGTGCTGCGGCTCCCTCTCGCCGTCGTTGGGTACGAAAAGCTGAACAAGATGTACAGAAGTGCAACGACTGGGACAGGCCAGAGCCCTTGGACCCTGTTGGTTGCGCGGCCCCCAGTCCGTCCCCCGTCCCGGTGGGGCTCCGGGCGTGTGGGCGGGCTGCATGGCGGCATGGCGCAGTCGCAACTTGGCAGTTGTGCACTACGTATTCCCGCGAACACGGCTCTTCAACCACTTTATTTTTTCTATGCTTCTGCTATGCCTGTCGCATCAAGCTTCCTGTGTCTCTCGTTTCTGATAGCCTGCCTGTCTCTCGCTTGTCTATTCTTCATTGGCCCCTTTCCGTCCTTTCAACGACGGACGGAACAGAGATAGAAACAGCGACAGCACACGGTCGACGGAAGTGGCATATTCTCACCACTCAGACCTGCACAGCCGCCTCGCTGTCGTCCAGTGCGTGCATTGGATTCGTAGGCAGGCTGTAAGGAGTCGCGTCAGCAAGAACGTGCAGTGCATTGGCAGACGTTTTATCCACCCAGGCTTACCACCGAGCACACAGCGCTCTTGCAGATGGGTATTGGAGGTACATCGAATGGAACCCGCCCAATGTATCTGTCGTAGCATCCCTAGCCTGTTGCCCCCCCGTTTAATGCCCGTCGCAATGCAGATCCGGCAGTGAGACGGTACAAAGGAAGGGGACCGGCTTCATCCAGATTGCTCTGGTGTCTTTCCAAGGCACTCCGTCAACTTGTCCGCTAGCAAGTCCAACGGTTTTAGCGTCAAGGTGACCCGCGCAAGACAAGAACTGGCGCCAGGCAGCGGGAACAGAAGAAGAAGAAGCAGCCAGAGGAGGGCCCGACTCCACGGACTTGAGACAGTCCCAGCTAGAAGACGGTGGTGACGGCGCTCGACATTGCTCGACGTCTCACCCTTCAAACCTTGGACGAGGCACCCTGGGACAACAACGCACTTCTTCCCCCTCTCCGTCGCAGCGGACCTCCTCGCACCGCGGGCGCTACCACGTTGTCCCCTCCAACCGTGCAAAGTAATCCGAAGCCTGGGTAGACAAAATGGCCATCACACGGCAGAAAAAAAGTGCGAGAGTTGCAGCCGCACACAACCTTGCCTCGTCTGGCTCAAGCACGCACCACATCTCCCGCGTGAGAGAAGAGGCCCTTGCTTTGACTTCCCGTCTTCGCTTCTTGTTCGGCGAGCGATCACCCCTTCACCGGCCGCCGGCTGTCGGCCGAGGCGTATGAAGCATAACGATAGTGGTGGTGAGCAAGTGCGCATAGTGGACGATCTGCGACCGCTGTATGGATGTCACCTGTAGTTTCCCCCCAATACCGATGACGTATCTACGACAGCGTTCCATTGGTGTCGGGCAGTGTGGACGATCTTTGATGGAGACCCCGACCAGCCGACCGACCGACCGTTGGCGAGAGATGACTGACTCCAACCTTCTTGTTCCTTCAATCTGCTGGTAGTGATGATGCATCCAGTCTCCATTCCAGCACCTGCGGCAGAAATACAGGAGGTTGCGGTTGTGGTTTCATGGGGGCTCCAATGTTTCTCTTACCCAACCAACCTCTGCTTGCGCGCTGATCACCTTGTTAACCTCGCAACGACGACCCTCAGAAAAACACTGACAGCAGGGGATGACTCGTGCGGCTGTTTTGTTTCGTTCGCCTCATCGGACTACGTGCCGTACACGACCTATGCAGTCAACTCTGTATGTGCATCTGTCCAGTAATATCACTGTTGCCCAGCCGTTCCCAGCTCAGCGTTATTCCAAGTTTGGTGTTTGGCTGCATCAGGCTGGAGACACAGCGGCAGACACGGAGGAGAACAGGAACAGAGTTGCAAGATCAACAAGCGTGCTCCAGGTACCCGTAAACAATCAACAAAAAAAGAAGAAGGCTGCCAGACCGCCAGGTTGTGAGATACCGTTCCCCAATATTCCCAAAGCCACATGGGCTTCTCGCGACCTCACTGGTGCAAACGGCAAGCGTCTGCCACAAAAAAAAAAACAGCCACCGGCCCCTGTGCCACGAATGCCACGCAGCGGAGTTTCGAAGCCACCAAAAAAACAAGCTGCAACCTCCAAGTCTCTTGCGATCGTTCATAGACGATCATCTGAATGGCCCCGGAATCCCATGGTTGGGATTTCATGGAATTAGTGGAAACGTTCACTGGAGACGCCTGAAAAACCTGGCAGGCAAACCACATCGACCGGTCGACCATGGCCCAGACCATCGTCATCTGCCATCAGCACTTGTTCCTCTCACACTGCACTGGCACCTCTTCCAGTACATTGAAGGTGACTTATGATTCCCATCCCACGGGCAGTGAACCCGATGAGAGACGGGAGGGCTGATCGGTGTGGACCCACAACGCCAGGAAAGACCCTGCCACAGAATCCCCAGCGACGATCGCCCTGGTTGCTATTTTTGACTTTTTTTCGCCGTGTGTCACTCTTCCACCCGTCAGCTTCTCAGCCACCACCCCTGACTGGGACCAAATGTGTCTCTCGACTTCACCACACCGTTTTCAGGATTCAGCTCTTCCATCCAGGCAGCCAATATTATCGCTAAAAGGCAGCCTTACGCTGTACCGCCGTGCGATTACAAAAACGTACCCTTGGCACGAGAAGCCAAACAGCTAACGCAACCACGCCTCTTTGACCAGAGAAAAGAGCAACAGTCACCGTGAAACACCGTTCCCAATGCATCTAGACCTTTTCCCAGAAGCACCACAGCGTAGCGCAAGGCATGGCGCGCGCAAAGATGCGGGGAGGCGTCAGTCAACGGAAAAGAAGAAAGACGAAAGAAGCCCAAGCACCCCCAGTCTTCGTCACCTCACATGGTCGGTAGCTTGATCCGAACCGTCTACTTAAAATACGCACAAACATTTCGCCTCCGCGCCCGGGTGGTTTGTCCCATCGCCTTTTCTCCAATGTCACATTCGGCAGAGGGAAAGTTAGGATAAGTTATCAAGCCAACATCATCCACAGAAACTCCAGATGACATCGCCATCGCCATGACCCCCATCGCCCAGAATTGCCCCACGGCAACAAAACGGTTCGTATTCAATTCGAGGAAGGCACACTCTCGTTGCTGCAAATAACTCGCGACCACGAAATATTTCGCCTCCTTACGTGCCCCTGCCGGTCTAGAACCAATCGGTTCGGCGCTCCGACAATTTTCGTAGTTTTTTCCTTTCCGCTTGTGCTGAGCCTCGCCGTGCGGCGCACCAACCTGTCAAAACCACCACCCATGTCACCCGACGCCGGCACTTGCGCCCACACCCCTGAAGTGACGGCTCGCCTTCCCGTCTCGATGAGACCTTCTACCCGGACAGGAGAGAAGCAAACTGCGGTTATGCAGTGTAGCTTAAACCACCGGAATGGCAAGGTATCACGGGTTGCGGGCGGACGGCCACCACTCCGTGCCTCACCCTTTTAAGGTACCTAGTCTCACGTCTGGCGAACGCCGAACCGTACGTTCGGTAGCTTGGACAAATTGTCAAATACCCAGGCGGGTTTGCACTAGCACTGCCGTATTCCGTACCACGAAGGAAATGCGCAGCCTGCAGCCATGGAAGCCGAGATTTCCAAGACTGGGGGCACGAAAATAATCATAAGCAAAAGACTAATGACCACGTCGAGAGTAAGCAGAACATTTGCAAACAGATATCGAGAAACTTTTACAATAGTACTGCGGTTTCCGTACCACGGAAGGAAATGCACGCCTGCGGCTATTTGTCGTCAGGTTGCAAAGGGTTATGAGCTACAGGGGTGGTAGGTCGATAGAGCATGGACAAGTGGTTCAGACCATCGAGCATACGTAAACCGCATCACTAAGCCCGGCGCTCGGGATCGAACAGAGGCAAGAGTCAAAGGTCTTGGACCATAAGTTCGGCGGTGTCCATGCCACACGAGAATAAACCAGTCAACGGGTGCGTTTCTTGGGATAAAAGTCATGCTGTGGGGGAGAACCGACCGACCAACCAGCCGCAAAAGCCGCGTGGTGGTGATTTTCAGGGATGCCAAGCCATACTCCCTGTTCGTCTTGCCATTTGAAATGCTATGCAGTGCGCATGCCGTGTTCAATGCTTTCCCCCATCAGACAGCAGTTCATCAATGCCTTGGTGCAATTCTTCGGATGCTGCTCTCATTGTTTTCATCTAGTTTGCTTACTTTTGACATGGTCATCAGTCTTTGCCCATCATCATGCTTGTCCTTCAAGTATTTTGGCCTCGGCTCCAAACACACAGCTCATCCTCATCTGCTTTACTCTGGGTCCGGCGCGAAGCCGGATTCCGAGCCGGCTGCTGCCTCCATGTCCTTGAGCGCCTTCTGGCCTTCTTCCGTCGTGGCATCGATAATTTGCTCCTCGAGGCTCAGAATACCGGCCTGCGATTCGCAATCTCGTCAGTAAAACATGTCTCATCAAACAGAAGCATTCGTATCGAAAGAAATGAAAAGAGCCCACTCACCTCGCTAAGCTTGCCGACAATGTCCTCCGCCTCGTCAACCTTCATATTGCCGAGCACTTTGTTCACCTCGTCCAAGCTGCCGCTCTCGAGCGCCTTGCGGAACTCGGCGCTGAACGCCTCGAAAATGGCCCGACCCTCCTTGACCGCCGGGTCCTCGCTACCTTCAGGCGGTATGGTAATCTTGATCTCCGTGCCGGGCTCCACGGCATGCAGCTGGATCTGCTCCACGCCTTCCGGCTCGTTGGCGCGCTCCTTGACAATCTCCCTCGCGCGGTTCCTGATCTTGCCGTACGTGTCCTGGACATCCTTGTAGAACACATCCTGAGCCTGGTGTCCCTTTGTCGTGATACGCTTGAAGAACATGCCTACACCGTCCTTGCCCAGCGCCCGGCAGTACTGCAGAAGCAGCGCCTGGTGTACGCACTGCCGGCAGTAGTCGTCCTTGCCCTCGAGGGCCGCGTCGAACGCGAGGACGAGAAGCCCATCCGTCTCCCTCTCTGTCAGAATCTGAGGGTTACTCGACAGATACGCGAGACTGGAAGAGTAGTCCGCGGCCTTGATCTGCGCAAACTTCTTCGCGGCGGGCGACGCCTCGATTTCCTCGTCGTCGTCGTAGGAGGTCTTTGAGTCCTTCGGGGGAAGCGTCTGCGACATGTCAAAGTTGGGGTTGAGCAGCTCCGGCTTGCGCTCCGGCTCCTTGCCCTCAGACTTGGACTTGTTGACATGCGAGCTATCGAAGCCCGTGTGGATACCCTCGCTCGTGATCTTGCGGCCCTCCTCCTTTTCCAGTTCGGCAAGCTTGGCCAGCAGCTCCTTTTGCAGGCCCTGCACCTTCTTCAAGTGCCCCTCGACACCCTCGAGCATGCCCTGGTAGCGGTTCCCAGGCTTCTTCTCGTCCAGCTCCTTGTTGACCTGGTCGAGCAGCACGGCCATCATCTTGGAAAAGGTAGGCAGGGGCTCCGACTCGCTGTGGACGCCTTCGGGGCGCGGGGGAGGCTGGTCATCCTCGGGCTTTCCTGCAGACTCCATAACGGCCTGGAAAGCCACCTCTCCAGGGTTGCGCGTTTCTGCCTCGGAAGCGTGGGATTTCAGGGCTTCGAGCAAGCCCGAGATACGCTTCATGAGGCCATCGTTGATGACGCGCTCGTACTTGAGCGTCTCTATCTGGTGCTTCCGTTGTAGTCGTTCCTGGTGTATTTGGTTCTGTTTGGCGCGAATAAACGAACGTTTGTCGACGTTGGGGTGCACTTCAACGTCCGAGTCGTCGCTGAGCTCCAACGCGTCCTGTGGAGGGTTCTTGATTAGCGGCTGAATGACTGCGGGGTACGGGGACTGCGCGACTTACCCATTTGCTGTAGTCGACAGGCATTTTGGCGGTTGTTTGGCGATGCGATGTATGTCGCCAAGAGGGCGTCTGTCGTGGTGGTTCAAAAATCGCTGTGTCGTGGAATGTTCTGGATTTCGAGGACAGGAGCTGGTTTGGCGCCCATTACCTACGGAGCATCACAGGTGCGGGGCAATACCCCGCCATTTAGATAGGCGCGTCACAGCTGCAGCCAAACAGCCCAGGGCAGCTATGAGGTCAGCAGGAACTGCGCTAGAGACAACGGACGACCAGCGGAGACGACGACGGGGGACGACAATCGAAGCCGAACAACGACAACGGGGACAATGACGAGGACGACGATCAAGGACGCGACAGAACACAGTCTCTGCAATAATTGGGCGTTTTTTGCTTTTCTATCTATGTCTTTTTGGCCTGTCAGAAAACTCATTCTCAATCAGCGCGATAACTCTACCGGGATTAAATCCATCCTTCGCAACTCCTCCTTCGCGCACATATCCTCTCTGGTTACTCAGCAGTCTAACTCCCTGCACCACTTCATCCGTCGAATAATGTGTATGCCCAAACACCCAACGCCGAACCCTCTCCCAGCCGCCTGCCCCCAATAGGTCCGTAGCAAACGCCGAAGACCAAATGCTGCCGCTATGCCTGGGCTCCGACGTCCCCTCCATCGACGGCGCGTGATGCGTGACAACAATGACCGACCTCTCCTCCGGCACATTGCCCAATTCCCTCCTCAACCAAGTGACGTCTTCCAGATGCGCCTCGTTATGATCATCAACCGTCCACGCTTCGATGTGCTCAAAGTCCTTGACCTTGGCCGTTACCGCTGCCCTGGCCTCGTCGGGAACCAGAGACCACAGCGTGCATCCCAGAATCGTCACCAGCGAGCCGGGGATGTCGAATCTATCGCGGTGTAGAATGTGAAGCTTCCCTTCCAGAGATGGCTCTGTTTCAAGCTGCCGCGCCCGCTCAATTGCGCTGTCGTAGTCAAGGCCGTGGAACTCGTGGTTGCCCAGGACAAGCACCACGCCCTCGAAGCGGTTCGTCTGACGGCGGACGAAGACGAGGTACTCCTCGTAGTCGGCCAAGCTGCCTACGTCTCCAGCAATCAGGAGGTAAGGTGACATGGCTGGAAAGTCAAAGGTAGAATACTGGTTGCCAGCTTCAAGGTGCAAGTCTGACGTATACTGGATGAACCCCTTCTGGGCAACGCCCGTGTTGGCCATCTTGGTTCTGTGATGTGTAAATTTGCAGAATCGACTTGAGAATTGTGGTTGCAAATAAAATGTGGGAAAAATGGGTCTAAATTTGACTGACCACAGCCGAAAACAAAGTACGAAAGATCTCGATGATTTCAACGTTGAGGATCAGAGTTATTGGGTAATTCGTAACGCTCTAAAGATGCATATTCAAGTGTGGCAGTTTTGCCCACCACTCCACCCTTGACTCCCATTTTAGGAGTCAATACTATGATATGATACATAAAGTTCGCACATACGATTTCGTAATGAATACAGAGACGCATAAGGCTTCGGGTGCCCTCAAACATAAGAGCATCCAAGTCGCTCTCGTCAAAATCTAGATGCCAAGCCAAACTCCGGGTCATTGATTCGATGGTTCCGTGTCTCATTGCATGGTTTTCAAGAAACCATCCAGGTCGAAACTCTCCTCGTACTGGCTGTTATCCCACAGGTCGCCCAGGTCATCAAGCCAAGCCTTCTTGCCGGGCTGCTTGCCTGTAACGACGTCACCCGTTTCGATATCCACCATGTCCTCTTCCCTGCCCTCCATTGCGTTCTTTGGTTTGTCGGATATTAGACTAGGTCCTGTATCTCCCAGGTTGAACAAGTCCAATATCTGGTCTGTGTCCATGGTAGACAGGCCTGCATTCTGCTGATTGACGACAGTTGATGCAACGTCGATCTTGAAACGCTGAAGACTGAGAATCTTCTCCTCCAACGTGCCCCTGGTAATAAGACGGTAGACGTTGACAACCTTCTTCTGGCCAATACGATGGGCACGATCCATAGCCTGCATATCCTTCTGCGGGTTCCAATCATGCTCGACGAAGATGACCGTGTCGGCACCCGTAAGGTTGAGACCCAGACCTCCGACGCTGGTCGTCAAGAGCAACACATCGTATGACGGATCACTGTTGAACTTGTTCACAATGTCTTGTCTCTTGTTGGCTTCGACTGAACCATCCAAGCGCAGGTGAGAAACGCCGGGCAACATGTTCTTGAGGACGGTATTCTGGACCATATCCAGCATTTCCTTCATCTGGCAGAAGATAAGGGCACGATGGGGCTTGATCGGCTGGTAGAGCGGATCATTAGACTCAGCCTCTTCCACGCCAATGCCGCAGTCGACAAGCAGATCTCTCAACGCGGTCAGCTTCGGAGCGTGAACCGGATCTTCGAGGCTAGTTCCCTGCTTATTGAGGATGCGTTGAGTCTCATCGTACATGCTGTGCGTCGGCTTCATGACCATTGCTGGCGAGTTGCAGAGCTTTCGCATGTACTGTAGGGCCTGGAAAATGTGTGACTTGGCATCCTTGTCTTCGCGCCCAGCCTCTTCTTGGAGCTTCTTGCCTTGCTTCCTAGTAAAGTCGTCGAACAACTTCTTCTGAAGATCACTCAGGTCGCAGTAGTAGTTCTGCAAGATCTTTGGTGGCAGGTCATCAAGCACCTCCTCTTTGAGACGTCGCAAGAGGAACGGGAGTACCTGCTTGTGGAGTGCTTCGATAGCCAATGCACCAGCTTCCTGCTCCTTCGATGATGCCTTGCTAAAACGACTGGCGGCAATGGGCTTGGCAAACCGGTCCAAGAACACTTTCTCCGCACCGAGAAATCCCGGCATCAAAAAGTCAAACAAAGACCACAGCTCAAGAACGTTGTTCTGGATGGGAGTACCAGTCAGAATCAGACGGTGATTGCTTGCTAATTTCTTGACAGCAATCGTAATCTTTGCCTTGGGGTTCTTGATCAAGTGGCCTTCGTCGAGAATGACATAGTTCCAGTTGTACTTGGCGAGCACTTCTGCGTCGTTGCGGCAGACGTCGTAACTGGTGATGACGATATCGGTCTTATCGAGATTGTCCTTCATCGTCTTGCGCTCAGCAGGCACACCGACGTAGGCCGTGACGCTGAGGAACGGGGCATAAGTCTTGATTTCTTGCTGCCAGTGGCCAGACAGCGTAGGAGGGCACACAACCAAAGACGGAAGACGACGAACATCAGGAGCGCCAGTTTTGGCGAACTCCTCCGCGCGATTGTGGTGATCGCTGGCAACCATGCAAATGGTCTGCAGAGTCTTACCGAGACCCATGTCGTCGCAGAGAATACCGTGGAGATGATACTTGTTGAGGAAATGCAGCCAGTTTACACCATCTTGCTGGTATGAACGAAGTTCGGCCTTGATGGCGACGGGAATCTGGAAACACTCTACCTTCTTGGGATCGAGCAGTTGCGAAATGAAAGTCCTTTCACGATCTCTACCCTTGAGAAGCTCTTCGGACAGACCTGGAGGATCTGGGATACCGGCCTCGAGAGGCACCAACTTGACCAAGGTGGCAAACGAGGTTGTTGCAATCAAACGAATCTCGTTGTCCGAATCACTCATGCGGCCGAGGACGGGGACGATGAGGAAGATGACATATGGTAGAATGGCGTCGCCCATCACGGCAATCAAGTGGTAGATGGCCTCGATAGCTCCTTGTCGGAAGTTGAGATCGACAGGGTTGCTGATGGATGGGAGCACCTTTTCGACAAGAGCCGTCATACCCTCCACAGTGATGACGCTGCAGATAGTGGCCATGCATTTCGCTGCCATATAGCGGAACACTGACAGTTCGGAATGCAAGGCTTTGATCACCAGCGGCACCTTCTCCATGACGAACGGATGAATGGCTTTGTCGAGAGTTGGCATGAGAGTCCGGATGAGTGACAACGCGTCGACGATTTCTTGACCAAAGGTGTTCTCGGGGTCCCGTGCCTCGGCGGGCAAGTCGCCACTGAATGCCTTCACGAGAGGTTCTTCCATAAACGTCCTCACAGTTGGAACGGCCGTGAGTAGTTCGGCACCATACGTTCTGGACAGGATTTCAAGAGCCTCCTTGGCGCCACGTCTGGTGATGCGCGCCGCCTTGGCTTCCCTCGCCCACTTGGCTGCGTCTGCGTGATCGACTCGGTCTTCTTCCTTTTGCATGGAGAGCACGCAATCAGTCTTGGTTGCATGTACGGGGAATTCGGGCGTCTCCGCAACCTCAACACAAGAGAATTTGATGAGGTTGGAGACCACTTTGTCGGCAGGCCCGCGACGGCCCTTCTCATTGAACAGCTGGACGAGACTGGCAATCGTGGCAGAGGAACGACATTGGAGTTCCTGGTTTTCCTCTGTCTTGATGCTGTCCATGATTCCCTTGATGAGAGGACTCGGCTTCTTTGGAAGAACCTTGATCGCAACCAAAGCACAAGCAGCAGCAGCCTTAATGCGCACATCCCGAGCTTCTTTGGCAGTCCTGGCGTCGGTGATGGCTGACGCGGCCACATCTCTGGCTTCCCCGAGCTGCTGGCTGGCCACCAAGCGTTGTCCGGGCGACATGGCCTTTTTGAGCTTGTCAAAGTCTTCGCCGACGACTTTGTCTGCGACGGCGATGGAGAAAGCACCAGGCCCAGCTTGCTCGTCTCCCTGAACCAGAACGGCGAGTGTAGGGAGTCTTCCGCTTGAGACCTTGCCATGATCGCGGAACATGTTGAGAAGTTGCTGACACTGGGATCGTACGCGATGCATGTAGCTGACCAGGTCTCCGTAATGAGAGGGCCGCTCCGCCTCAATAATCTTTTGCAAGGGTGCCACAAATCTCTGAGGTCCTTCGGCTGCTGTGTTGTTCTTGGCGTACTCGTCAATGACCATGCAAGCCGCAAGCTGCGTGGAGGCGTTCCTGTCTGCGAGACCACTGGTGATGAGCTCATCGTACTCTGCCATGTGGCTGTTCGGAATGAAGGACATGATCAGACCCA